GGTTCTTCCCCTTCCTGACCGAGTGAGCTGGCATGTTTTGAAGATGGCACCTAATACCTGTGTGTACACATGTGCGGATTTCTGGGACTGTGTGGAGCAGAGCCACTGCCAGCTTGAGCTCCCCGTCTTGGCTGCCATGTGCAGAAGGGATTGATTGACCTTTGGTCAGTAAGCGAATGATGAGGGATATGATCTCTTCTGATTGCCACAGCTTAACTGACCCCAGTTCATCATTTTCTATTAAATGCTAAGATGACACCAAGTTACATGTAACAAAATTAATTATGGAAGTATTACAGGTTTGGCGTTTGCTCTGTGGGTTGGGTCGCTGTTGTTACTGTTGTTTGTATTGGTGAGTATTGAACCCGGGCCTTGCATGTACCAGGCAGACACTGCACCAAGCTTCACCTTCAACCCCTAGAACTGTGCTTTTGAACCAGCCAGCTTCAAAGGCTTAGTCGTGAATGTTGGGACCCTTTGTGCTTCTCTCCTAACCACCGTGACCACCAGGGCACCACTCCATCCAGGGAATCGTGCTCTGGAGGGTCCTTCCCCTCCCCTTGCTTTCCTTCAGCACTTGCTCATTCATGTCTATATCTGTGATGGTATGTTGTTTATGATTACACATTTGAGAAATGAAAGCAGATTATATGAATGTCTAGGATCATTCTTCGAAACTGTGTGGTATGAAATTTAATTGTCTTGTCCAACTTTGTTCACGTAGAAAAAAGACACAAGGAGCCGGGTGGCGGTGGCACACGCCTTTAATCCCAGCACTCGGGAGGCAGAACCAAGTGGATCTCTGTGAGTTCGAGGCCAGCCTGGGCTACAGAGTGAGATCCAGGACAGGCTGCAAAACTACACAGAGAAACCCTGTCTCGAAAACAAACAAAAAAAATCTGCCCTGTGGAATAGGGGTGCAGCTCAGTGATAGAGCCCTGGGTTCCATTCCCAGACTGTAGATCTGCCCCAGGACAGGAATCTAATGTCACTGTGTTTTTGTCAGAGCCTTGCAGTGATTTCTGCCTTTTAACCTTTAAATTCCATGTGTAGTTGTTTATATCTCGAGCTTTTGTCTGTGTCTAGAATTGCTTTAATTGGGTATACAAACACAGACGGCTACTGTAAGAAGTCTGCTCATGTATCAGGAGGCATGGTCCAGCACATGGAAGTGCCAGGATCAGTCAGGACATGGGGAACAAAGGGCATGAACGCAGGAGCCTTCCTTGTGGTTTCTGGGGGAGGGGGTCAGGGCAGACAAGCAGGTTTGGGATTGGCTAGTCTGCAGTGTTAGGAGGCCCCCAGGTTAGAAGCTGTCCTGAGTTGTTGGTGTCCCAGCATGCCTGAGGAGAATACAGGGCAGGGCCTGGGTGGAGGTAGGGTATGAAGTGGAGACCTGCAGACGGGAGGGGCAACCTAACCTCTCCTCTCCAGGAGGCAGAACCTCAGGGTGCCCACACTTCATGATGAATGCATCTCTGTTGTAAATTGAGCTTTTTCATCTTATTAAAGATGTGGTCCTGAATTCTTCATTGCTACAAGAGCAGGATCTTCTTGGTGTTGTCTTCTCATCTGGTGGCCAGCCATCACCTAGCAGCCATTAGAAACAAATCTGCTTTAGGTGTGGGTTTTTGTATGTTTGTTTGTTTCATTGTTGTTTGTTTGTTTGTGTTGGCAGTACTGTATAGTAAACCTAGGGATTTGGGCATGCTTCCCTAGTACTATGTCTGAGCTATATGCCCAGCTTTCCCCCCTCACCCTCACTTTTTATTTTGAGATAGTCTCAGTGAGCTGTCCAGACTAACCTTCGACTCACTCTTTGCCCCAGGCAGGCCTTGAAAGGGTAGTCCTCCTGCCTCAGCCCGCCAGCTGGCTGGGATGTCAGGCCGCACCACCAGCTGTATCCCTTACAGCAAATACTCATTCCTTTTCCTTACAGGTTGGGTTAAGCCTATTCCCATGTTGCTGTGGGAGAAAGAATTTGTCAATCACATATTCTGTTTTAATATATGCATACTTTAAATGTCAACCACTATGTTTTCTTAGCTTTTTATCTTAAAGCATTTTTCTGGTGTTTAGAAAACTTGCATCTGCTGACTAATGGCTACTTTTGAGTCTGCTCTTTTGCTCTATCTTCTTTCTCTTTTCTTTAGACAATTAAATTCATTACCTGTGGCATGCCTCAGTAATTAATACTCTGCCCCTCCTCCCTCCTTCTGCTCCTCGCTCCCCTCTTCTTCAATTTTAGAAGCTGTAAGTTCCAGCAACCTGGATGGGCTCTTACAGAGGCTCTTCTAAGCTATGTCATGTAACGGCAGAAATGTGTGTGATTCTGAGTGTGTACGTGTGTGTGTCTACACATGTGTGCTTGTGAGTGTGTGTATCTGTGCATATGTGCTTTTATCTGTGTGTCTATATATGTGTGCTTGTGAGTGTGTGTATCTGTGCTTTTATCTGTGTGTGTATCCATGTGTGCTTGTGAGTGTGTGCATGTCTGTGCATGTGTGCTTATCTCTGTATGTCTATACATGTGTGGTGTGTCTATACATGTGTTTGTGAGTGTGTATATCTGTGCATGTGTGTTTGTGTGTATTGTGTATGCATACATACTTTCTCATGAAGCTACTGAATCTAGTTGTGAGGTTCCATGCTTGCCCCCCAATGCTCCACCTTTGAACATATTGTCAGAGTGTTTCCACGCTCTTAGTTCTTTGACATAGACCTTGGGCAATGGATTCATGTACACTTTCATGATGTAGGAAACTTGATCTATCACAGCAGGTATAAAGCCTTTCTAGCTCACACCTGTTCCCTTGTTTAATATCAGATAGGTGTGATCCCATGATCCTGGGTTTGAATGTTGCCGCCAAGAAAAATGTTGCAAGATTGATTTTTCTTTTAGAATATGGTGATTTTAGAAGCATATATGTTGATATGGACTATTACAAGATAGTTAATATTTAAAGGCTGTTACTTCACTTTAGAACCAAATTTTACTTCAGTAAGTTGACTTTTTAAATTATCTTTATTTTATTTATGTATATGTTTGTGTATACCCTGTGTGTGGGTGTTCACAGAGGCCAAAAGAGAGTGTCAGATCCCCTGGAGTTGGAGTTACAGACAGTTGTGAGCTACTGGACATGAGTACTGGGCTGAACCACAGGCCATCTGGAAGAGCAACAAGTATTCTTAACCACTAACCCATCTCTCTAGCCCCATAAACTTTGGTTTTTAAAGCTTTTATTCATTTTTTCTTTCTATTTTTTACACATCTTGTTTTTGAACCCTACTTATGGGGCTGTTTGTATCTCTTTCACTTATTTTCTTTCTACCTCTTTAGCCATTTCTTTCTTTGTTTGATTTTCTCCCTTTATTTTCCATCTCATGGTTCTAACTCTGCTTCCTGTGGCCTGGTTTTCTTTTCCTTATACCTTGACTTCATTTCTGAGACAGCTTTGAGTCTTTGTCTGGGAGAGGTGCCATGGCCTGTATCACCTCGTGTCCTGTCTGCTTTCCCGCATCCCTTTCTGCACACACCCACCAGGTAGGGAGGCCCGAAAATATAAAGTAGAAGTTTAATCATAAGCATTTGCAGCTGTAAATCGCACTAGAGATCTTGAGGAAAACAATATAAATCAGACATGAGCAAAAGCCTACCCTGAATGGTGATAATGGTGATAAGTAATGAGGAGAACTCTGAGTTTTGTCAGATGAGTGGATTTTGTACACTGATTGTGTAGTCTATAATTTCTTCCTCTGTTTGTTGTCGTGACCACCACCCACCCATACCCACATTCAAAAAGTGGGTCCACATAACGGCAGCACCCCCTCCCCTCATCTACACAAAGTTTCACCAAACGTCCTGTCTTTCTGTTGAGAAACCCAGTTGGTTTGGGCTAGCTATTCTTACCAACTAGCATGGCTTTTATCTGGATTAATATGATTTACTAAGTGATTTCCATATGTTGAGTACTTAAAAACACTATCTCTGTGTCTCCTCTAACCTTCATATCAGTTCCCATCAGGTGGATCTTACTAACCCTGTTGTAAGGAGAGAGAATCCAAGGTTCTGTGTATGAAATGACATGCTCATTATCATAGTCACTAAAGAGGGCATCCAGGCCTGGCCCAGCTGGGGTGTGCATCATCTCTGTGTGCAGGCTGAACAAGCTGTAGCACTCACAGGGCTGCAGCTGAAGCCCTCAACAAGAGGAAATATCTCAAGCTGCACTTCTGCTTTTCCTATGTAAGGCTGGGGGAATCTGGGAGTTCTTTTTGTTCTTTTTGCATTTTGTGCTTTGTTACTTGAGACCAAGATGAAATCATCCAGGTTAAGGACAAAGAACAGTTCCGTTCACCTAGGACCTAATGGGGTTGTGATCTGGGCAGCCTTCCAAGTATGTGTGAAAGTTTTACCAGATGGTGGCTGTGTAGTAGCTTAAGCTGAAGGGGGCCTGTTCCTTACTTCACTTCTTTCCCAGGAGTTATGAATGGTAAGTAAGAGTATGGGGGGCGGGGAAGAAGAGGGCTCAGTCTCTGGGAAGGATAGATATCATGGGTGAGAGATTAGGAAATTCATTAAGCCCTTCAGATGGTGATCAGTTTCATTCCAGTGCAGCAATCTCCAAAGTCAACATGTCCATGAGTTGTGTGCCAAGAGCTCGAAAGTTCAGCCATGCTGTTCCTGAAACCTGGCCTGTAAGGCTTCCCAGCTTTGTCTTATGTGTCCAGAACCAGTGCTATGTGGCCTGGATTTCCTCCCCTGGCACAGCCCTCACTAAGTGCTACACTTTGATGGTCATTAGAGGCGTAGTGTTTACAGGTGTATGTGTGTGTCCATGTTAATGAAAGGTGATAAGAGGAGCTGTGATCATCTATTTCAGGTAGTCCATTATGGGTGTCAAAGTCTCCTTTTAGACACTGCTCATCAACATCCTTTCCTCCAGGATAGCCAGGATCCTCCCACTTCTGCTATAATGTCTTGTCATTTCTATCCACAGGCAAAAACTGGGACCTGACAGCTGCGCTGAGTGACTATGAGCAGCTCCGACAGGGGCACACAGCCAACCTGCCACATGTGTTCAATGAAGGGAGGTGTGCCAAGCAGCCCGAGCGAGAACTGCCCCAGCCTGGGCACAAGGTGGAGCGTCCCTGCCTGCAGAGACAGGACGAGATTGCTCAAGGTACCAACCAGCTGGGGGGCTTGCAGATGTGGACAACAGTGTGGTCAACACCACCAAGCTGAACCAAACTGATCTCCCAAGGCCTTGCTCCTCACAGCAGGCTGGCTGAAGGCAACGTGAATCTGTGGCTCCACGTCTCCCCTAGAAAGCAGGAGAGTGTGACTGAAGCCTTTAGAGCCAGGCCGTACGCTGGGGAGTCCTGCTTTGCCTGACAGATATCTCTGGTCCTCCAGTTACTTCTGGCAGCTTAGTCTCTAAGTCATTCACTAGCACAATCATTGTTCCCTGTGTTCCTTCTTTACTGTTCTTCTTCATCATCGGACTAAGATACACTTGTAACGGTGATTATAAAAAGGGAACTTGAAAGGCTTTTTGTCCCACCTCCCAGCTCTCACTGTCTTTAACCACTGATCGGCCAAATCTACCTCCTTCTCCTGATAAACTTGTTCCAGATGCAAAGTAATAGTCAGGGAGACACTCGGCTCACAAACTGCTTCCTTTACCAGGCAATAAGCACTAGTTCTTTCTCTTTTTGCTACGTTTTGTTACTCGGTGTATTTAGACCTTCTGTATGAATAGCCATCCTGGGTTGTCTTGGATTTGTGTTGTTGCCATTTGTTTGTCTTACACACACACACACACACACACACACACACACACACACACACACACCTATAATAAATGTTGTGACATGGGTCTGAAAGGCTCAGTGAATAAGAGCATTAGCTGTTCTCCCAGAGGACCTAAGTTCGATTCCCAGAACCCACCTGGCAGCTGACAACTATCTCTAATTCCAGGGGCTCTGATGCACTCTTCTAGTCTTGTAGAGCACCGGGATTCAGGTGGTGCACACACATACATGCAGGCAAAACACTCATACACAATAAAAAACGAAAATAAATAACTCTTTAAAGAAATGCTTAGTCCTATGAATCTCAGGCCAGTGCTTCCCTCCCTACAGGCTAGTGCCGTGCACTGGGCTTGCTATGGCTTTCTGTGGCTTGCTGTGCCTTCCTGCCATCAGCTCCCTGATCACATTTCTGCTCACTGAGTGCAAACCTGGTGCTTCCTCTACCCCTGCCCACTCTGTGTGTTGGTGCTATGGCTTTGCCTTGCTGGCATTTGGAAAGGTGAAAACTGGAATCTTGTCTTAACTTTCACCTTGTGGTTTGCTTGTCCATTGGCCTTCTCCTCTACTGCATGCCTGGTTCCTCATGAGGTTCATTTTTCAATCAGTGTGTTTTCTTTATCCGTTTGTAGAATCGGCCCACGATTCTACCCACACCCTTGTGTAAATCCCACTGTGTCATCTGCCTTATGACTTTGTGTTCAAAGGGCTTTGCCATACAGAAGTGTTTACAGTATTAATATCCCAGCCTATGAGCTCTTCTCTAGATTTGGAAATAAAATATATGGTTAGTAAGCCTTTTTCCTATTGTTTGTCAGTTTAGTCTTCAGGTGTTTCCACGGTTGGAAATTCTTATAAACAATAGCAAAGGCTCCAGGCTGCTGTCTTATAGAGTGCTTCCTCCCTGCATACTGATCAGATTGCCTTTACCCTCTGGACTAAATGTCAACTGGACCATACTGTAAAGCCCCAGCTGTCCCAGATCTGTTTGTGGTCCCTGTGGGTCTAGCATGCCGCTGTCTAGCTGTTACCCTTGGCTCTGTCGGCTTCCTATAAGTCACTCTGTAAGGCAAACTCCCTCACTGCCTTGTCAGAAGTTTCCACTGCTTTTCTGTGTTTATGCTTCCATGTAAGCCTTACTGCAATTCTATTTATGACCCAATGGGGTCCTGTCTTCTCTTTAATTGGCTCCATGTTCCTTGGATCCAATGTTGTTGGGTATGCCTCTCCACATATTTGAATTCTGCTAAGACTAGACACAAGAGAAAGCAAACCATTCTGCACTTACCTGTCATCTGGGCAGCCACATACATACAGTGTCTTGTTAAAGCTAATTGTTCTAAGAAGACGACCCCGAGTTTTTGCCGCAGAGAAATCATATCATCTAAGAGCATTTGATGTCTTGTTTATATTTAGATGTAACGATTTCTTGTTATTTACAATTTTTAATTAAAATATAATTATATCATTTCCCTCCTCCTTCTAACCTCTCCCATCCCTCTCCTCATTCCCTTCAAGTTCATGGCCTCTTTTTCTTTAATTATTATTGTTACACAAACACACACGTATACACGCACACATGTACATATACAAACACAGCCTGCTGAGTCTGCTTAGTATTAGTCATATGTATATGGTATCAGGGCAGACCACTTGGTATTGGATAACCCAAACTGTGGGGCTTATTCCTGGGGAAGATTATTTCTCCTGCTCTCAGCATTGAATATAGGTTGGGTGGGTGGGGGTTATTTGGGCTTCATCTATACTAGAATTACAGCTCCAATTCCAAGTGTGATTCTTGAAGGCAATTTGTCCATCATATTTTATTTCATCATCCAAAGCAATCTTTTTCTTAAGAGAGAATTTAATCCATTTAGTTTACTTTAATTATCTCATATCTATACCTATACTGTGTATAGTGTACACACTATAGCTGTATAAAAATACTGTACATTGCACATTTTAATTGTCAAGCTTTTTTGTTTGTTTTCATTTTTCTTCTCTGACTGATTAGATTTTTCTATTTAAAAGGTCTCTGTTCCACTTTTACTCATCTGTCATTTCCACTCTCCTTTTAAAGCCCATGTCTAGGTTTTCTTTCTGAAACCTTAGAAGTACACTGTCTCGCCCCGAAAACTGTGTCACGTGCTCCTGACCCCTCCTCCTGCCATGCCCCAGTCACGTTGGTGCTCCTTTGGTGGCCTGTGTTTATTTAGGCAGAAGTCAGCTTCTCTACTTGTTCACATTTAAAGTCATGCAGCTACCACGCTTACCCTATAAGATCATAAGGAAGCTGAATCTCACCCGCTACAATGCCGTCGCGCATTACTCAGGATTTGGTTGATGCTGGTGAGAACAGACCTGCACTACCAGTTATGTGACAGTGCCGCCCATCATCTAGAGTATTAACATGCTGATAATAAATAATGGTAGTAAATAACTGATGTCAGTGTGAGTGTCACTGAGTATGTGTTTACATATTTCCTACACTGTGCTTTTCACTGTTATTTTAGTGTGAACTTCTGACAAAACGCTTGACTGTGCAAGAGTCTGCCAGGTTCTGCTGGCTGTGGCCTCAGTGTTTACCTTGCCTCTCAGTGGCATAAAGAGGCCACATTGAAAGCCTGGGCTGGGCCACACAGGTCTGCGGGAGGCCACTGTGTGAAGTCACACAGGGACGTATTTCTCAGAAGGCATCTGTCCATTAAGAGACACGTGGCTGCATTCATTTGCTTCTTTCGAAAAGAACGTTTCCTCGAAAACTGCCTTCAAACCTAGTATTTGCAGAGAACGTCTTAAACCTTAAGTGCCTGAAAAGGTTTGCATGACCTACTAAAATTTTGTTAGTGGAACAACGCTCGCCAGTTCTCATTCATTCCCATGAATTCTTCATAAACTTCCTCGGCTGTCTTCTTGACGCTCCTCTTCTTGGCTTCTAAGACACACTTGCCCTGGCACTCTGACCTGCGCCTTTTTCCTGTGCATGTATTGGGTCAGCACTTGCATTTCCACTCCAAATCATTTCTTAGTGTTATTAGTATTTCACAGTATCCTCTCTATTTCTCTGGACATGTTTGCTGGGCTCATTTATAAATTCAGCCCATTCGGCTTGATTCCTGAGACACAAGTACTTTGTTTACTTTCTTATATGTGCCTGCCTTCCTCAGATGTTTCCTCAGTTTCCCTGTGAGCACCTAGTACTATGATTATCAGCACCTCAGACCAAAATATTTTAGGCTAAAAGCAGGCAGTGTGGGCTCTAGCTGGTGCTCTAGCTGAGTGTGAAAGGACTGCCAGGTGACCAGCCTTGAGATCTTATCTTTGTGGTTGACACGTAATAGTTGTACATAGTCACAGGGTGCTGTGGATATTTAATATATATGAACAGTGTGCAATAACCCTATGAGGGCTAGCACATCTATCATCCCAGTTATTGTTTCTGCTGAAGACATTCAAAACGTTTTCTTCTGGCAACTTGGAAAGATAAGTAAATTATGAGCTGTACTCACTGCTATGCTATGAAGCATTAAGATTTATTCCCCATATCCAACTGCAGTTTTGTAGCCAATCACTGATCTCAGTTTCCGCTCTCACTCCCACCCCAACTCTTTGCTCACACTCCCGCTGTAGCTCCGCATCATCACTTGATTTTGCTTCTGCCCGTGGGCTCAATCTGTGGATCTGCCTGGCTTATTTCACTTAATGTAGGTTCCTTAGGCTCATCCATGCTGTCATAAATGACACAGTTTTTTTCATTGTTTTTATTAGTAAACACTATTTCCTTCTATGTATGTGCTCATTTTTCCATTCTGCTGGCAGATGCTTGTGTTGGTTCTGTTTCTTCACTGTTGTGAGTGACGCCGTAGAGCAGGCAGGAGAGCAGATACCTCACACAGAGTCTCTTTTCTTTGGATGTGCATCTGGTATTAGGATTACTGTGCTGGGCTTTCAATATTTTAGCACTTCCCTGTCCCTACAGTTGGCTATCGCCTCAGGGAAACTTCCAGAACCGCCGTTATAGAAATGGCTTGTTTATGAAGAACCTCTTGTGGCCATTGTCTAGGTATTGGCATGTTGGAGAAAGGAGGGCAGGCAGTGCCTGTTGGTATGGGAGCACTTGGCTAATGCTCTCAAGGATTTGAGCTGAGTGCAGGGAGCAGTGGGGACATCTCCCAGTGACAGACAACCCAGCCCTCCCATTCCATCTCTCTTATTCCAGATGGCCTCTGTGGCTTCATTTCTTTCTTTCTTTTTTTTCTTTTTTGCCTTTCCTCAAAATATAACATAACCTAATCATATTGTGTCAGAATGAAATTGAAGTGAATCGAAGCCATTCATTCTGAAATATGCAACCTCTATACTTTTCTGTTCATTTGAATGGGGGAAATGTATGAGGTCGTCAAGGTAAACCTCTGATTGCCAGTCTGTTTTGACAAAATTGCATTAATGCCATCTCTCGCCACTGATGTACAAATGAGGCTATGTGGGAAGTCTTGCTCTGAGGAAGACAGTGGCTGCAGTTTTCCCTGCAGCAGGGATGCTCCCCTGAAATGAGATGAGCAACCTTGGGGCTCATGTGTGTATACTCAGGAATTTGCCACAGGGTTTTGATCATAGTCACACTCAGACACCAAGGGTCCCCTTCCCTGAGCCGAATAAGAGGACTCTGCTGTGAGAAGTCCCATGCCACAAACACTGACTCTGCAGTGACTATTCCTACTTCATATGCTCCAGAGTTGTTGTTTAGGGACAGTGTGCACTTGTAATCCCTGCACTTGGAGGCTGAGACAGGAGGGTGTTAAATTCAAAGCCAGCCTTGGTGCTATATGGAAATAGACTTCTAGTTTACATTGATGGTGTCCATTAAACAGTAGGGTTTTTTGTTTTGTTTTGGTTTGGGTTGGGTTTTTTTTGCTATGTTTCACTGCAACAAGAGAATAAATGCGTTATCTTCAGTTCCCCCAAGTTCTAACAGGGTAACAGGCCATACTTTAGAGACCTCTTCCCCTGCGTTTCTCATTCTTTGAGCAGAAAGCCCACAAAGAATAAAAAAGAGTAGGCCACCATACCAGAGAGTGCTGGGGCAAAAGAGCATGCAGGTGGCCAGGAAGCATGCATGGCCTCCATCCGTGTGTCCCCAGGATGCCCACATGGGAAATGCTCATCTGAGAAGCAAGAATAAGGTAGTCCATGTCTGAAAGTCTGGGCCACAGCAGAGCAGCCTGAGAAGGATACTCCTTGCTTTAAATCTGTCAAAGCATGAAGACAAAGATGGTCTCCTAGGTTCTACTCACTGCCGAGAGAGGAAGGCTCCAAGGAGTGGAGCAAAAGCAAGCGCTGCTGCTCCTGTCAGCACACTGGCGGCACCCCTCTCCGTGGTTCCGTGGTTCTGTGGCTCAGCTGAAGCAGGGCCACATACCAGGTTTACTCCAGCAGCAGGCAGGCCTACAAGGTGGAAGAGTCTTGGGAGATAGAAAGGCTGATGTGGGAAGGATATGAGTGTGTGTGCATGAGTGTGGCAAGCATACGTGTTCCTATGTGTGTATAGTATAGTGGGCACATAGCTGTACCTGTGTGTGTAGTGTGTCCTGTGTGTTCAGGTTACATACTTGCTGTGTAAATATTATATAGTGTTACATACACTATATATATATGTGTATGCATATACATCCATGTTCATATGTATATAACATGTAAATAGTGTATAGTACATGTGCATGAGTATATGTTTGAGGATATATGTGTCCATATTTGTAGCATCTAGTACATCTTTACACCTGTGTATGTGTGTATGTATACATTTATATGTGCATGTATATGTAAACTATATGATGTGTGCCTGTGTATATATGTATGGAAATAAGTGTATTGTCTAAAAGTGTCGTGTTGGGGCTGTAGAGATGGCTCAGCAGTTAAGAGCACTTGTTGCTCCTGTAGAGGATACAGGTTTGATTCCCAGCACACACATGGTGGTTCACAACCATCCATACTCCAGCTTTAGGGAATTCAATGCACTCTTCTGGCTTCCTCAGTCACCAGACATACACACAGTACACATACGCACATTCAAAGAAAACACACATAAAATAAAATGAATAAATCTAATTTAAAACTTAAAAAATAATAGAAGTGTCATGTATATGTATTAAAGACATACTTATTGATAGTTCTGTATACTGTGTGCACAAATGTGTGCAGTGTGTGTATTTACATGTAGGTGTGTGTTTGCACTGTACAATATATACATACATTTGCCTCTATCTATATGGGCATGTTTGTATATATGTGCGTTTATAATGTTTACATAAGTGTATTACATGTGTGTATGTGGGAGAATATGTGTGTTGTATGTTGATAGTGTATGGGTATGTATTTATTTACATCTGCATGTACTAATATGTGTTTGCATATGTGTTAGGTGTGCGTGTTCAAGCATGGCTGCATTCACTCTCAGAGCCACATTGACAGTGACACGTGGTCCCTGTGGCTGTCCTTTCTTCTCATCAGCAGAGAAGCGCCTTTCCCGGGGGATTTCCCACGCCAGCTCAGCCATTGTCTCCCTGGCCCGATCCCACGTGGCAAATGAATGTAACAATGAGCAGTTCCCACTGGAGATGCCCATCTACACCTTCCAGCTGCCGGACCTGAGCGTGTACAGCGAGGACTTCAGGAGCTTTATCGAGCGGGACCTGATCGAGCAGGCCACCATGGTAGCTCTGGAGCAGGCAGGTGAGTGTCTACTGCCCACAGCTCCTGTTCCTCCACACTCACCCGACCCCTATGCCACAGCCTGGCCTCCTCTTTCCTCGGTGAGCGGGAGGAAGACCAGGGTTCTCGGGATTTGCCATCGGAATTCTCCATTTGTACAAACCCTGCTCTAGAGAGTGTTGTCCTCTGTCCTCTGTCCTCTGTCACCGAGCACTGGTCTTGTGTGGGGCCAGTGAGCAGGTGTGCTGGGGCCTCCCAGGTCATTTCCCTTCTTCCTGAATCCCAACCTTTCCCCAGATATAAGCACTGTGCTGCTTGGCCTTGGTCTGCCCCCATCCCTCATCCCCATGGGAGCTGAAGGGTAGGCAGAATGATTTAGTTAGAAGAGAAGTAGGAGGCCCGCCGCTTCCTATGCACATGGGCAAGTCCTGTACCCAGAACTTCAGCTTCCCCTCTGCAAAGCTGACCACCCTGGTGGCCATGAGGAACTCTGAGAAAACAGACAGGTGTCACTCTTCTCACCTCCCCCAGTCTCTCTGGCCTCCCAGAGGAGGAAACACAGAAGTGACTTTAGCCTCCTTGTGTCCAGCATTAGCTCATGCATGACCCTACAATGCCAGGGAGGACGCCAAATGTGTCCTCTTTGACCTTTCAACTGATACAATGATTGACTTGAAGCAGATGTCTAGACAGATGTAGGTTCTTCCTGAGACAAGGCAATACCTTTTCAGCATCATCCCTTGCATTATAAATAACTGCAAAATTGAAATCAAAGGGCTTCTCAGCTATCTATGGGAAGGAGTATGTTCTTCCCAAGCACCTCCAGGGGCTTCACTACCAGCATGCACTAAGGGCATGTCGCCAGCAGTGGTTCCCGCTGCCCCCGATAAAAGTGGAACAGAAGGCCTTCTGATTCTGACTTGGCATTCAGCCAGCCCTTCCCATGTAGAACCTCCACTTCCAGAGGCCTGGCTGTTGGAGGGACTCCTAGGTAACCTGTTCCAACAGAGACGGGATGGAAGCCTCATAGATCTGACATCTTAGCAGACAGCAGAGAAAGTATTCTGCTGAGAGCTTCAGTCAGCAACATGCTGTTAGGAAGTGGAACTCAGCTCTTGGCCAAGACACAATAAGCATTGCCATACATCTGTGTTTCAGAAAAGGATAAGAGGAAGATCTAGAGGGTGGACATGGATAATCAAGATGCTAGCGTGAAAGAAGTCTAATGAGATGGTAGGATTCCATAATGGAAATGTTTGCCAAGCAATGTGCAGAGGTTAAGGACACCAACGGATAATGCCGTGCCTGTAAATAGCCCAACAAGGCCATTGCTACCTTTGTGCCTTGCAAAGAAGGGAAGGATGAGTAATTGTGTGGAGAGATCATGACTTTGGGGAGAGAACATGTTGGAGAAATAGACTCGAACCGCATTCTTCCTTCACCATGCAGATTGGCCAGGGCGTCACATTAGCAGAAAGACAGTAGATGGGTGATTGTTGACACCTCTGTTCAGCTCGCCCTGTGGGTACAGAGCCGTGGGCACAAGCATCTGGATCTTTGAGGCAAAGACAAATCACACATAGGGTAGATATCTCGTCCATTTTGGCCTGCTCACACCTAGATGGAGTGGTTTCATATCAAGGTTCATCCCAGTACAAAGCACCAGGTTTCTCTTTGACAAGTACAGCCTCCTTTGCAGCACATGCCTCGGCAGCAAAGTTTAATTTCTTCAACCTCTTTTCCTTCTCAAAAGACTGCACGTGTCTGTGTCTTTATGCCTGACTTCTTCATCGTTTTCATTGTGGCTAGATGTGTGTAATAAAAAGTCACTGCGACACAACTCTAAGGCACTCTTGTCTTGAAATTTCCTCTGCCAAACAAATTAATGTGTGATCTTTAAATTCAAGAGCAGAATGAAGCCAGGTTCTTGGTCAAAAGAGCTCGTTAATGACCTCCTGCCCAGTTCCAGGTAGAGCTCTTTTGTTTTGTCTCTGAAGCCTCATGAGCCCGCCTCTACTGACCATTTCTTTCAGAATTCTTCCAAGCTCCTGCCAGAATGGCCCATTAAGCTCTGCTTGTAGTGTTCAAGGGCTTGGCCTACAATTCCAAACCCTTCCATATTCCACTCACCAACAAGCTCCATAGACCTAAGAACCACCCTATGGTCAGGTTTACCAAAGCAATGGCCTCAGTTCTCAGTACCGATCTTCCTGCTTAGTTACTTGTCGATTGCTGTGAAAAAAATATATATCATGATAAAAGTGACCCAAGAAGGAAAGGATTTTTTCTGGTAGAGATGTCATGGTAGCAGGAACTTGAAGCAGCTGGTCACATGGCATCCATAGTCAAGAAACATAGAGGAGATGAGTCCATGGTTAACTATTTCCATACGGGTTCTCTCAAGCATTACAATTGTTCATTTAGTAAACATTTATTGAGAACTTATTGTGTGCCAGATGGTACTATTGATACCCAAGACTAAGAGAAGAAGGAACACAAGGTCATTAGCCTACATAGAAACTCACAGGGACATAAGAAAGGCAGACATGAGCAAAGCATTGTGGTCACAGAAGTACATTGAAGGAACAGAGATGTCCAGAGAGGAGGTTATAAGAGGCCCTGGGCTGCAGTGTACTCCAGTGGTATTGTGAGGAATTACAGGGACTCATGGCAAGAATTCCCCTGGCTTTGGCATAAAGGATTGTCTCCTTTCATTTTCTTCCGTAAAGTGCCTCGGTGGGCAATAAGCAAAATGGCACCTTCCTTTAAACTGTGTGGAAATTACCTGTTACATCATACATGAGTTTGAGGTATGGTGCTCAGCATTGTCAGAACAAATGACTGACGGCTCCACAGCACATGATCTCACCAACCTTTGATGGTGTTCACTTGTCGCTGTGGTCTTTCAGGGGCTCAGGGGCTGAAATTAGCCCCAGTGCCAGCTCTTAGGCCCTTTCCCTTTTCTCAAGTAAGTTATGTGAGGAGACATGAATGGGAACACTAAATCATGGACCTTTGGGGAAGCTCTCTAATTCCACTCCTTACGTGAAGATTTCCATTCCCGGGGTTTCAGCCAGATGCTAGACTCACAGTGGGCCATTTTCAGTCCCCTGAAAGCTGAAAAGTTCTGGTATTTACCATAACTGGCTCATCTTCCCAATAAGATGCACCTGATTTACAGCCCCAACCATTGGGCCAACTGGGTAAGAGTTTGATTGCTGGAAGCCAGCTTAAGTCAGTCCACTAGTCAAGGCGTGGTCAGCCAGCTGCTCTGGCTGGCTGTGCCACCTCTCAACCCTCTCCTAGATGTGGCTTTAGCAGTATCAAAGGCCACAGTATTCTTTGCACAGCAAGCAGATGTCTTTTGCTCTTATGAGTTCTGATGCTTCTCCATGCATAGCTCCCCTTAGCTTCAAGAACACAGGCAAGCATCCTGGACATTCCCAGAATAGGAATGGGAAGTGAATGGGCATAATTCCTATTTGAATGTCCTTTTGCAAAAGAACACTGTACCGATTTCTATTAGTACATAAAAACAAATTACTCCCATGTTTAGCAGTCTGAAAAGATAAGCTTATCATCTCATAGTTTCTGTGGGTCAGAAGTCTGGTACTTTTTAACTGGGCCTGAGAGTCCTTTAAACTCTTCAGGCTGAAGTCCTGGGGTCAGGTGGCTGTGTCCTCATCTGCAGCTCTGTCTAGAAAAGATATTTAAGCTTGTAAACACAGCTCTGCCCTTTTGTTGGGTGACTTCTGTACATGCTGTTGTCTGGGGAAACTGGATGAAAGGCCTCAAGTCTGGGATTCTTGAGGAACACGGGGACAGATAGGCCTTTGGTAGGAGAGTTGTTTATGCTACAGAAAGACACCATGTTGGGGGCTCTGAGGAGAAGTTAGGTCTGCAGGGCAGAGTGGGGGTCCCTTCTTCAGTTTCAGAAGAATGGAAAAGTTCTATGCCACATGGTTGATGAGCAGTCTTTAGTGCATGAATGTAGTCAGTTTGTCTCTCTGATTTCTAAACAGAAGGGAGTGAAAGGAGTTCTTACATTTCAAGGAAGGAACACATGACCTTGAGGATGTAGGGGGATGGGGAAAAGGGGCTTATTTATTTAATGTACATGCATCATGCAGGATATTTTACCAGTAATCCCTTATAGCTTGGAGTCTGAAGGCCTGGTGAGTACACACAGAGTCAGCTATGAAGGAAGAGACACACAGATGCAGATGGGCAGGCCTGGTCTGGGTTCCAACACTGAACTCGTAGAGACTGCCTGAGAGGCCTAGGTGTGTAATAAGTGCCCTGTGCACTAATCCCCTGCCAGCACTGGTGACACAGCAGACACACGGCATCTCATGAAGCAAACGTGCCACTTGCAGATATACATACAGTGAGGGACAGCAGAAGCCCAGGATTCATGGCAAGGTGGTCAGTCCCTCAGGGGCCATGGCAGATACAGTCTCACATGGTCTCAAGAGCTGAGGGACTCTAGAATCTGCCTTCTGTGGGTTAACTAAAGTGATGAAGTGTATTTGCTATAGAACAACACAGCCAGAGCTGTTCTTACCACGCCCTTCCTTATCTCAGGATGCTACCTTCTAGGATATTCTAGAGTTATTGAGAATTAGAAGTAAGAACTGGTTTTATCAAAGGCCACCAGGAAGACTGTCCTGTGCTGGTCCTTGCCATCTAGCCCTTTTCAAACTAGATGGACAGACAGACAGACATATAGACACAGATATGCATACTCTCTGCTTACTGTGCAAGGCCAGCCAGAGTCTCCCCCTGTCTCCCTTTCTTTTGTATGTTCCACCCTTTACTGTATCTGACCATTAAAGCCTCCATAAGGAATTCACCCAGTTAGGTCAAGATAACCCAAGACAACACTTTGATCAATCTGTAATCAAGAGCTGACTTCCCCAAAGTCTCTTCATTTGGCCATGGATTGTAACCTAATCATGTAGACTAGCAGGAGGCACTATCTACCCTCAAAGGGAGAGAGTTTTACCAGGTGCACCTGGAGC